GATTCTCACTGGGCTAATTTGGGAGAAGAGGGAATCCCCCAGCTGGTTTCTGCCCCTAAAAAACTACTGTAGTTCTGTCAGCCTTGTAAACTCTGAAGATCTCCTTCTTGTGTGCTAAGTATCCTCTTGAATATGCATAGTAGAATTTTGACTGCATAAGACAGAATCCTTCGAGAACTGAGGTTTCCACTGCTATTTATGATATACAGATGGTATCTCCAATGTATCCAAGGCAGCATGGAAACTGAGTGCAGGAACTAGGTTCCAAAAGTTCTCCCTGCCCCTGTAGGGCTGTGGAATCCACAATTTTAAAGTGAACTTGAGTTTTCACATTTATATTAGCCTGCACTTAATCACTTTTACCTATTCAAATTGAGCTTGTTTGCATAATTGATTTGATTTTGCAATTGTTGGTGCTTTGACTGTATTTTGCATAATTGTAGTTTATTTAGTCGTGGGAAAAAAACATAAGGCCATGGAAGGAGTACTTCTATTCGAAAGCCTAAAAAAAAATAAATCCCACCATTGTTCTAACTCCCGAGATGGCAGCAAGCATTGTTTCAGCCTTTTCAAGTGTACCTTACTTTATTATTTCTCTGTAGCCAGTCAGGCTGTTTACACATAAACAGAAATTAAAACCACTTTAAAAGGATGACAGTTAACATTTAATATCTAAGTGTGTATAAGCAATCAGAAGAGCATAAAATAATAAAATACAAATAACCATTCTTAAACAAATATCAAGTAGTAGATTATGAAGCAGGCAAAGTGTTTCCATAGCTCGTTTAATGAATTTGGCAGCCCTACAGGATATGTAATTGTCTGTGTTTGCTAGCAGAAGTAAAATTGTACATAAAGGAGAGTTGTTCTTAATCCCAGTCGTTAAGGGTTTAAGAGACTGATCCCTAAAATCTGCATTCAGAGGGCATTCTATTAGCTGTTGGGGAAGGTCTTCATGATTTTCATGGTGATCAAAAATAAGAGAAGCTCCCTGCTTTCTTCAGAAGCATGCTTCTTAGCAACTAGGGACAGATGTTTTAGTGATCCTCTGCATCACATCCAGTTCAGATTCTGTAATGAGTTGACTTCCAGAGCCTAAATCCTGTTCAGGAAAACTATGCATGCCATCTGTCATATGGCTAATTGTCTGCTCTATCAGTGAAAGAAGGGGAAGGGGACAGTTGACTTGCTGATGAGATATATAGCTTCTATGGGTAAGATGGCCTTACCATTTTACCTCAGCGTGGCCAACAGTTATGTATGATGAGCACTGGAACCCAAAACATCTGAAGGGTAGCAGGTTATGGAATAGTGATCTAGACCAGCGATCAGTTCTTGGAAGACATACTACTAGTGGGAAATGAATGAATGAATGAATGAATGAATGAATGAATGAATGAATGAATGAATGAATACATACATACATACATACATACATACACACACACACACACACACATACATACATATGTAGTCTATGTAAAGTGCAAAGTTTTCCTAACAATTGTGAAGAATTCATTTACCTTCAGTCTCTTTGTTCTTCTGCCAGTGAGACATGCCATCTCCTACCAACCATAACTGCCCCAGGTTACCCATCTGTGACCTTCTGGCAAGCAAGCAATAATTTTCAATGATCAGTGTGTCTCCAGATCATCCTTTTCCTCTGCTCTAGCTGAATATAAATAATAAAAAATACAAATAATAAAAATAATACATAATACAAGCATGCCTGCAGATATATATCCAGACCATTCTTCTTGTAAAAAGGGGACTTTACATTTCCGCCATGGTGAGCTTTAAAACAACAAGGGTTGAGAATTAAGGATATAAATACTGTTTGCCCAGTTCCTCAGCCTTGATAGAAAATGCTAGGTCTTGACACACTGAGAAAATTCATAGGGGGAAAAGAGGGGGGAGGACGTCCTGTAAGCTGTGACAGAACAGCAGTTTCTGCCTCTATTCCAAATACAAGGGTTTCTGCACAAAATGTATTTTAAAAAGAAAAAAAACAATCACAAAAGGTGCTGAAATTCAGGAAACTACAAAAACGGTCACAGTCTTGCCTAGTAAGATCTAGGCAAAGATCTCCTTTATGGAGAATTGGTGCAAGGAAATCGCCCCAGAGGGAGGCCACAGCTGCGATACAAGGATATCTGCAAGCGGGATCTGAAGGCCTTAGGAGTGGACCTATGGGAAACCTCAACCTCTGAGTGTTCAGCCTGGAGGCAGGCGCTGCATCATGGCCTCTCCCATTTTGAAGAGTCCCTAGTCAAGCAGGCCGAGGCAAAGAGGCAGTCCTGAAAGCAGCAAAATCAGGGAGCAGGACAGGGGAAAGATTGGATTTGTCTTCAGTGTGGAAGGGATTGTCACTCTCAGCCACAGTAGACACTGTTCCAAGGCCTCTATTCGGAGCATGTTACCATAGTCTCTCGAGACTGAAGAGAATAAAATGAGCAAAGATTTGCATTGGTATTGACAATCACTGATGCAGATAATAAGTACCTGCAGAGTGTTGACTGGTGAGACTTCTAGGAAGATGATAATATAAAATGTCACATTCCTGGTGCTTAAAAATATACTTGAAAGATCTTAGGAAGTACCATCCATAGTCTGCATTTCATGCACTGCCCTCTTGTAGAATTCCAGCTGCTCTATAACTCTGCTAATAATTAGAGCTTGGGAAAAAATGTTCTTTTGAACTGCAGGTTCCAAAATCCCCAAGCCAGCATGACTACTGGCCATGCCAGCTGTAAGCTTTTTGGGGGCTGCAGCTCAGTCAAGTAACATTCTGGAAATCTCCTAATATGGTGTAGTAACGTTTAGCATTTCACAATGATACCTTGTGCACATAGGAGCCCTTCTCAGTTAAAAAAAATGCAAACTCTGTCATCATAATGCTGATGAACTATAGAACTGCTACTGTAATTTATTTATTTTTCACTGACTTGGAATGTATGAGCCTTAGAAGGTTGGTAGAAAATGAATGCTGGTATTAGAAGATGAGCACTTGTAAGGCCGGCTGATAAAATCTTCCTCCAGTACAACCTTTCAGTTTTATCTAAATAATATTCAGCCAGTTTTTGACTGAAGTAGGCTGATTTGCATCCAGTTACCATCTCTGCTTTCACTGAATTGGCTTTGCTCCATCTGTATATCAGTCCCATTGACTTCCCACTGGCATTGTTTTATAACTGACAAGGTTAAGTCCCTGTTTCAAGGACAAGAACCCAAACCATACTCAAATCAGGGTACTGGACAAAGTATGACCTTGATGTGTTTTATATAGGCAAGTGGAAGGCTTGTGGAAGCGATAAAAGGTTTAGAAGAGCAAGAAATCTAATACTTTGTTATATCAGCAAAATAGCTCTGTGCAGAAACCTTTTTAAGTGAGCAAGTTCACTGCAAGCTTTAATTCTGAAATGATAGCTAATTTCCTCCCAGATTATTTCAACCAACTTTTTTAAAAAAAGTCATTTTGGACCAAGCGCTTGCAATTAAGCAGCTGAATTAACTCAAGCATTAGTAATTGAAAGGGTGAATAACAAAGCTGCCTTTGTGATATATGCCGGCTAAAGAGCTGGCCAGTGAAGACTGGCAAACGGTAGAATTGAGGAATGGAGGGATCCCTCTTCTTTCCATTCTTCCAATTTTTCCTTGTTTCAGAAGGAGAGGACACAGAAGGAGAGGACACAGCCTGATTTTCCAAGCATGGCCTGGAGTTGTGTTGCATCTACAATGGTGCCTCGCAAGACGATTTTAATTCATTCTCCAAAAATCGTCATCTTATGAAAAAATCATCTTGAGAGGTTCCCTATGCATTGGTCTAAAAAAAAGTCTTGCAAAGCATCGGTCTCCAAAAAAATAAAAAAAAAAGTCTTGCAAAGCAGTCATAGAAAAAAAAAGTCTTGCGAGGGACCATAGTGATTGCAAAAAAACAATCGTCTTGTGGGTTTTTCGTCCTGCAAGGCAATCGTCTATTGAAGCACCAGTGTAATTCAATTTGGCTTTATCATGTGGCTGGGCACAAACAGACCAGGTACAGCACTGGAACCCTCTTGCCTGTTTTTTTTTTTCACCCAGACATGGTATTCCTCTAGGGTTTCTGCTCTGCTTGTCTGTCTAACTGGCAATAGCTTGGAAATTGGAAACATTAGGTTCTCCTGGCCAACTTGATTTATTTTAGATGGACAAGTGGAGGACATGTGAGGACGCGGCCATATTGGCCCGGGATTTCTGCAAATGTTAGTTTGAAAAAGAGACATGTTTCCATTATTCTTTTTGTTCAGAGTTGACTTGGAAAAGCCCAGAGTTGATATCTCCAGAGAGGACCTTCCACTTTAAAACATGCGCTCAAATACTTTGCCATTACAGTATCCCCAAATAGTGGTCCCCATCCTGACTTGATGGTGTTCACTAGCAAGCCTGATGGATGATATACAGACAGGGTGAATTAGTAGTGCATTGTCACCTTAAGAGCAAGCCACCACAAAACTTGACTCCATTCTTCTCTTATCTATGGAAAAATGTCCTTTAAGTGTCTGTTGAAACTCTGCTAGACAGTTGTACAGATCCATGTTCATAAGCCAATTAAGGCAACAGTCCTGAATACAGACAGTAAACTGGAAATGACTATGTCCAGCCATTATATCAGTCCTGGAGCAGTTATTTTTAGCACTTTTCTAAACATTGCTGTGGTGCTTCACATTTTACTGTTTTTGCAAAACTGATATAGCATGCTGCTGGTCTTTACAATGTGAGATTTTTGATGTTGTTTCCCTCCAGTAAGTTCTAAACTATTTACTGTAATTTCTTGTCTTCGTTATACTGTTTGTTCTTGGTAAAATTCTCATGTCAAGATGTTGTGTATATAGGCATATATATATTCGGGGGGGGGGAATATAATAAAGAGAAATGTAGAAAGTATGCATGCACAAAGCTAATATTTAATTACCTTTGTATAATTAAGTCCCATCATTCTAATTGCAATGCTTTTCTTGCAGGTGGTGTATAAGAACAACGATGTGCGGCTAGAATTGTCTCGACTTGCTAAACAAGGAGATCCTAAGATGAAGATCCATGGTGTTGTAGCATTTAAATGTGAAAATGTAGCAACCTTAGACCCAATTACATTTGAAACACCAGAATCTTTTATTTCTTTGCCAAAGTGGAATGCCAAGAAAACAGGCTCAATATCATTTGACTTCCGCACAACTGAGCCCAATGGGTTAATACTTTTCAGCCACGGCAAACCACGCCATCAGAAAGATGCCAAACATCCGCAAATGGTCAAAGTTGACTTCTTTGCTATTGAGATGCTTGATGGCCATCTCTACCTGCTACTGGACATGGGATCTGGTACGATTAAAATAAAAGCTTTACAAAAGAAAGTGAATGATGGAGAATGGTACCACGTAGACTTTCAGAGAGACGGACGATCTGGTAGGTTTTGAAAGAAAAACTCACCCTCTTGCATTTGATTTTATATCAACAAATGTTTTGCTTGTAATTTCATTGAATACGTTCAAGGGTGCTTGTCCCTCCGCTGCTGCAGAGCCGATACTATCACTTTGTTCATATTTGCTGTGGCTAGTCTTCTGGTGACAAGCATAACTGCACTTAGTTAGGCTGGTGCCCAGACAGGCATTATACAGTCCAAGCACTAGAAGTCCTACTGCAAAAACTCAAGTTACCAGCACAACATCATAGGTCAGAAGAGGAAGTCAAAGGGTTTTTTTTTTTTTACAGCTATTGCAAGGAGCATATCTTCCAAAATAATAATGTTCCTGAACAATTGGCAATCTAATATAAAGTGAGAAAACAAGCATAAAATCAAGCATTTGCAAACAGTAGTAAGCATTTGCAAATAACTTTTTTCTTCTCAAGTATGTGGGAATAGAACAGATGCATGTACTGTGCAGAGAGAGAAAGAGAGAGAGAGAATCAAAGTGCAATGTGCCCATTTTAATTATTAAGCACATTAAGGAATATATATATATTCATTTTGTTAGTTTTGGCCCAAGATTCTAATCTGTCAAGGTGATTTTGAACTCTAATCCTGTCCTCTGGGGAATTAGCAACCCCTCCCAATTTGGTATCATCTGCAGATTTAATCAGCATACTCTCTATCTCACTATTTATCCAGTATTTTGAAACATTTTCAAAGCTTCCTCTTCACTGCTTTCTTGCAAAAACATTTAGCCTTCTTAGTTCCACTTACTGTTACACTCTTACAGAAGAACATAAGAGCCCTGCTGGATCAGGCCAAGGGCCCATCTAGTCCAGCTCCCTGTATCTCACAGTGGCCCCACCAGATGCCTCTGGGAGCACATGAGACAACTTGATACCCCGCCCCTGCATCTGGCATGTTGAGGTACCTTCTAAGCCTGGAGATTATAGATCCCCATCATTGCTTGTAACCTGTGATGGACTTTTACTCCAGGAATCTGTCCAATCCCCTTTTAAAGGCATCTAGGCCAGATGCCATCACTACATCCCGTGTTAAGGAGTTCCACAGACTTAACCCACTAAGTAAAACACTGGTGCCTTGCATAGCGACGATAATTGGGGCAGCAAAAATCGCTGCAAAGCGATTTCGTCGCTATGTGATATTAAAAAGTCCATAGGAATACATTGAAGCCCCTTCAATGCATTCCTGTGGGCTTCAGACTCACCTTTAAGCGAAAATCCTCTATACGGCAGCCATTTTCGCTGCCCGGTAAGCGAGGAATCTGTCCCAAAAAAGAGTGGGTGGCCATTTTTTTCCGGCGGCCATTTTGGAACTGCTGATCAGCTGTTGGAAAAAAATCACTATGTGAAAATCGGTAAGCGAAACAGCTTACCGATCATCACAAAGCGATTTTTTACCATTCAAAACATCGTCATGTGATCGCTTTTTTCGATCGCAAAAACCTAATCGCTGTCCGGATTTGTCATTAAACGGGGCGCTCGTTAAGTGAGGCACCACTGTAATAACAAACTGTCTGTTTAATGATTTGCTCTAGAATTTTTCCAGGAATTGATGTCAGGCTGACTGGGCGATAATTATTTGTGTATTCTCCCCCCCCCCTTTTTGAAGATAGAGACAAAATTGTAACCAGTGTAACCCAGTGTAAACAAGGACATCCCCATAGAACTGCTGGGGAGCTCAGTGGTGTAGGTCTCTGGCTGCAGAATCAGAGGTTGGAAGTTCAATTCCCCACTCTGCCTCCTTGACGGGCTGGACTCCATGATCTATAGCGCCCCTTCCAGCTCTGCAATTCTAAGACTCTGTATTCATTCATCTAAGTCATTGATAAAGAAGTTGAATAGCACAGGGCCCAGAACAAAACCTTACGGCACCCCACTAGTTACCTCTTTCCAGGATGAAGAGAAGCCTTTGGTGACCACCCCTTGGGTTCGGTCAGTCAACCAATTACAAATCCACCAAACAGTAGCACTGTCTGGCCCACATTTTACTAGCTTCCTTGCAAGCATATCATGGGGAACTTAGTCAAAGGCCTTACTGAAATCAAGATATGCTACATCACAGCGTTCCCTTCATCTATCAAACCTGTAATTCTATCAAAAAAAGAAATCATATTAGTTTGGCATGACTTGTTTTTGAGAAACCCGTGTTGACTTTTAGTGATGACAGCATTGCTTTCTAAGTAATACCAAACTGTCTATTTAATTATCTGCTCTAGAATTTTTAAAAATATTTGCTTTCTAGAATTTTTTAGTCCTGAAAGTTATGCCTTGCAGTGTCACTGGTTCCCACATGAACCAAAAGGAAGGGGTAAGAGTCAGTGGGCTCAATGAGCCTTGTCAGTCTCTCTGTTACATCACGAATTTTGGCTCCAGGGAGAGACAGCACACCTCACCATTTATCTTGTCAGGCCTGCAGATTGTGGCTTGTGTTCCTCTGGGAAAGCAGTCCCCAACCACCACAACTTGTCTCCTCTGAAGTTTGGTAGGGGACACTTGATGTACAGATTGTTCCAGGGGTCCTCTGGATATTCTCTGCAGGCTGACACTGCTCCTCTTGCTGCTGTTCCATTTCCTGATTAATAAGGGATTAATTCATTTCACATGGTTGTGTCCCATCCCATGCCAGATTTAATAACACAACTAGTTTCAATTGACCTCTTTAAGAGCCTGCAGTTGACAAGCACAACCAAGTGGTGGGAAAATCCTGCAGAGGATAATACTTCAGGCACAGGAACTTGGCAAGAAGAGAAGATTGCTCAGGAATCGGATTTCTCTCCAACAGCAGTTCTGGGTAGCCTCCTAGTCTGTTCCGGTTTTCTTGAGATTCCTTGTCAGGGCAAAATGTTAAAAATTGCTGGGATCAAAGACCTTACGAAGTACTTGTTACATCACTAAATAGGGCAAACATGATTAAAGGCAACATAGCAGGTAGATACATGATATGATAGCATCAACGAAGTACTTGTTACATCACTAAATAGGGCGAACATGATTAAAGGCAACATAGCAGGTATCCGATACATGATATGACAGCATCAGTATTATGCTTTTGCCATGTTTTATAAACATGCATATGCATTCTGGGAACGTGGTGGGGAAGGGAAGAGAAGAGTAGTAAAGCATAAGCCTATGCAAGGGAGTTGAGCGAGGAAGGTTTTGAACATAACTTGGCAGTAATGACGAGAGGAAAAGGAGGAGGAGGTTGCTGTTCTCAATGCATCTGTTGTAACGCCTAGTTTTGGCCTCAGTTTCAATTTATTTGGCGTAGATCATAAATCCAAAACTGATTAGTTAGAAAAATATGTTACTCTGTGTTAAAATATTACTTTTGACAAGGATAGCAGGCTCCCAAGCCAAGATTCTTCTAACAATAAATTGGAATGTGTAGTTGTGTTGTAACTACTCTACGGCATAATTAGTCTGCATCTTGAGATATTGTGGTTTTACTGGAATTTAATATGTGAAGGTTCCATGGGATGGTTTAGCAATAACAGTGTGATTTTTTCCCCTGTTGATATATATATTTCAAAAAGAAGGAGGAGAAGGAGCCCCATGGGGTGGACAGAAAGAAAGGGAAAGCAATGGGTGAGGATGAAATAGGATGGCACTGGAAGTCTTCAGTTTTGTCTTTCTTGACACTAGGACTTTTCCAGATGCTGTATGCATCCAGTGAGAGTGGAGGGTGGAATTCCTGCTATTCCCTGCACATATCGAGAAATCCCAATGCTATTTTCAGTCTCTCATCAGATAAATATTGAGTATTCTATGTCCAGTTCTAAGGGGAAGGTCTTTGCTGAGAACAGGGGCTGTGATGGGGTAAGAAATGCAGGGTCTTTGCTGAGCCTTAAGAATCCATATTAGGCACAGAAACAGAGATTTTCCTCCCCTAACTTATAGAAGACACGAGTTAGGAAACTATAGATAGAAAAATGTTCCTTCTCATGAACAACAAGAGGCCAGCAACCCTAAATTCTTTTAGTTGAATTAAATCCAGTGACATCTGGTGACTAAACACCACAATAACACTATGAAGACTACACTACAAATACTGTACAGGTATAAGCAAAGTGAGGCTCATGGAGAGAGAGAGAGAGAGAGAGATCTGTTGGTTCTTTATTACTTTATACTCTCTGGAGGACTGCAAAGAGAACAAAGCTATCCATTTTGATGGAAATCAACCCTGAGTGCTCACAGGCTCCAATACTTTGGCCATCTCATGAGAAGAGAAGGCTCCCTGGAAAAGACCTTGATGTTGGGAAAGTGTGAGGGCAAGAGGAGAAGGGGACGACAGAGGATGAGATGGCTGGATGGTGTCTGCGAAGCAACCAACATGAATTTGACCCAACTCCGGGAGGCAGTGGAAGACAGGAGGGCCTGATGTGCTCTGGTCCATGGGGTCATGGACACGACTTAACTACTAACCAACAACTCTCTATAAACCAAAAAGGGTTTGATGGCTTTAAACCAAAAGCTATGATAAGGTATTAAGAACCTTATGGCACCTTTAAAGACTGACACACACACTGTAGTGCAGGTTTTCATGTGCCACAGCTCATAAACCTTAAGGTACTGCAGCACTCTTAGGCTTGCTCCAGTGCTGCAATGTGCATGAATTCCTTCCATTCCCTCATTACCTTCTCTGTTGTGGCTCTGAGTAGTTGCTTGCTTGCTTGCTTGCTTACTCGCTCACTCGCTCACTAGCTCACTCACTCATTCATTTTCATTTAAAATGTTTTTAACCCCCCTTTCTCCTTAAAAAGGACCCAAGGCAACTTACAACAATTAAGATATAATACTTAAGATATAGCAATCCACTTACTTACAACAATTAAGATATAATACTTAAGTTAACGAGTATGAATACTAAAAAAACAAAAACAAAAACCCATAAGCAGCACCCAAATACCCTCAGTGCAGTAAGATATAGCAATCCACTTTTAAAAAACCCCACTTGGCAGCCATTCACACAGGGA